AGTTATTGATTTTATTTTAAGGTTGTGGGTATTCCACATAAGTTTGCTCGAATATATTTCGATAACTGGAGAATTTGAGTCTAAAAAATTTAATAAAATCATAAACGAGTTAGAAATTGAAATTTTACAAAAAAATACGACATTTAATATAAATCATACACAATCATTCATAAAAAAACGAGTCAGAAACTGAAAAACAATGAAATTTAGACAGCAATGAAAAACTAAACCATAAATCAACAATGCATAAATAATAAAAGTTAGTGTGTATATATATATATATATATTAAAAAAAAATAAAAAAAAAAACTTTAGAATTATATAAATAAATGGAAATTTATAGGTGAACGCAATTTTCTTGGTTAAATGCACAGCCTCCTTTTCTGGTCAGGCAAAACTGGAGGCCAATGGGCCGTTACATTCACAAGGCCCACAGCTAACTAAAACCCACATATCCCGGCCCACTAACAAACAAACGGCAACTTGGTTACATCATCATCACCAGACAAATCCCCGTCTTTTCCAGGTAAGATAAAAACTATTTTCCCCTTTTTCTCTCAGATCTAATTTCCCCAAATTTCAATTCACGCAATCAAATTTCTTCCAATTTTTTCCCCAAATCCACATTACAAATCTTCGGAGAGAAGGAATTTTCTAACAGAAGATTTTCCGGCGCGTGGATCGGCGTGCAGATGTGGAACTCGGTCGCTAATTTGAAGGAGAGCCTGAGTAAGATCGCACTCGACGTGCATGACGACGACGACGAGCCTTCGATTAGCACTCCTCAGTCGCGCGATCGGCTCGAGAATGGGATTTCGGTCTCTGAGCGGAGAATTTCGCGCAGTTTCAGTCGTTCTAATTCTCCGATCGTCAATGGGTTTGATTCCCCACCGACTCCCGAGGTGCTTAGGATCATCTTTGTCTTTTTGTGTTTGATTTGATTTTGATTTTGATTTGTGCTCGTTAATTTCTGGTGAGCTTCTAGTTTGTTGTGTTCGTGTTTGTTGAACTGAGAGGAGATTGGGAATGCTTTTGTAATCATCTTAGTTCAGCAATACCTTTTTCCATTGGAAACGAGGATGTAAATGGTTGTAAATGCACGATGTTTTTACCTATAATGCATAGTGTTTTATTTGCCAAAATGTGTGTGGATGGACATGGGCTACAGAATTTCAGCATTGTGGCAGTGAATCAATAGCTATATTGTGAGTTATTTTGGAGAGGTAAGTTGAAAAGTATTGTGAGTGACATCCTGACATTATAAGGTTGGATATTAATTAATGAAATATGAGGATTGTGTTGGGTGGCCTTGAAATGATTCATCTGAGTTATTTGTTTCACGATTATGATGTTTCTGGAATATTTATTTGTATTCCTTTCCCTTTCAACTGTTTCTTGGAAAACAACTGAATCTCCGATATCTTTTTGCCTGGCAGATCCAACAATACAAAACAGAAATTAAGAGACTTCAGGAATCCGAGGCGGAAATAAAGGCTCTTTCAGTTAATTATGCGGCTTTGTTGAAGGAGAAAGAGGTACATTTTTTTGCTACCCTTCATACTTGTTTCATGTGCAGAAGTGGTAGATATCCGTAAACACAAAATAAGAATTTAATTCGAAGTCGCTCCACAAAATGGATCTTAGTGAGAAATCAACTGTCTTATTCTATTATGGTACATTATGACTTGTATGCGACTGGAATGCTGCAGCCAATGTAGCTATGCAATATTTTGTTTTGTCTTTTTTCAGATATAGTTAACCTTAACGTTTCCCTGTAAACTATTAGAAGAATGTTTCAGCCAGTTTAATTGTTTTAGGTGTACTTGCTGTAACCCAAAGAAGCTACATTCCTCACTAGATGAAGATACTTGTCTATAAATCCATTAACTTGAAATTAGCACACAGTTGAAGTGGCTGAATTGTTGTGGTTCTTTGATCAAGTGTATGCCCTGAATTTTGGGTGATGGTCGGGTTTCTAATTAGAAGTTTCTGGAACCAGTTACCTTACCTAACAGCGACTGATCCTGATCTCCGGGTGCTGTTAAACTCGGGATTTAGTGTCCCAACTGAGATTGCGAGACAGGATTACTAATTTGCTCCATTTTACTCACTATTCCACTATGCTTCAAGATTTTGCATGATTGGTGTGATCTTCTTTATATGTGCGAGATTCAAGTTTTATGTCTCTTATCCAGTTATTTTGGTAGTTTGATTCTCTATTCTAATGACAGGATCTGATTTCAAAATTGACTGAAGAAAATGGCTCATTGAAACAAAATCTTCTCACCACAAATGCTGCTCTCAGTGCAACTACAGCCGTGCCTAAGGTATTTATCCTGACTACTGAATCTGGTTGTGACAGATTATAATTTAGTTGATTTCCGCTAGTTACTTGTGATTGTATGATTTATAGTATAGGACATGAATGTATAGGAAGTTAATTGATCATGTATGTGGTTTGTACCGAATAGTTAGAAAAATGATGGATAACCATAAATCCTTTCAAATCTATCTTCTGAGAGGCAGTATATTCTTAAGGTTTGTAATTCTTTAAATCAATTCTGCTACAAGAAGTGTGTTCTCCGACTTGTTTCAGTAGGAGAATCTCATTTCCTTGTTGTATGTTACTTAAGGAGAACTAGGTGGAGAATTAGCAATAACTATCCCTGAGACCTTAACTCCATTTAAGGAACTAAATAATCTGGAAAATTCATTTAGTTTTGTTTTTGGGGTAGTAACTCCATTTACCTTTTGTGTGAGTTAGTGGCTGATTTTATCTAACTTTTCTCAGGGGAGTGTCAATATTTCTCCCAGGTCCAATAAGTTTGCAACAAAAGTACGTACCAATGGAAGCCCATTATCCAATGGAATCATATCTAAACGCGATGAATTAAGCAATGGAACCATTTCAAATAATGGAAAGGTAAGAGAAGCTTCTAAGCCACAAGCTTTCTTTCCCCTTGAAGTCGTTGTTCTCTTTCACTTCATGTCTAGCACATGTATGCTGTTTATTTTGAATAGGAATTGGCAATTTGTTTCTTATGCTATCTAGTTTGAATTGTTAATGTAGTAAGAACAAATGGAATTGTGGTCTTGTCATGTCCCACTTGTAGCTTTTGCAATTGTCACACTGTAACTCTTACCATTGTTCTGCCTTTTGTCATCCAATGAGATAATTTGATGATAGCTGCTCTAATGCCTTCTAGGAACTCTCAGATCAGATGGAAGACAAAAATAAATCCCTTGCAGAGTTGCAAGCAACACATGAATCACAAATGAAACAGATGGTGGTCGAGCTTGACAAAGAACGTGGTAGATTAGCTACTATGCGGTCAAGATTAGAAGGTAGTCATTCTTTAATATCCGGCTTCGGTATTGTGCATTGAATATTTTAGTTAACTTATTTGTTCTATGTGTTTAGAGGAGCAGAAGTTGAACAGATCATTTCAGCAGGAGTTGGGCTCTTTAAAAGATGAAAACAATAAAGTGAGTGTTTTATTGCTTGTTATTTTATTGAGTAATATGGCATCCGTCCTTATTCCTTTCACATCATCTTATATTATTTTTACTAATTAATAAATTTTAAATTGTTTGAGAATGATGTTGACGACACAATTATAGATGAGTTGTCATGTGCTGCTATATGTGAAGCCTTTAAAAATGCATTGAATCCAATGTTAAAACTTTGTTATTGAAATAGCAATTGTTTGGCCACATTATCTGTAATTGCCGTACAGCCTGGTTTACATTCCGCATATTCCAAGAATGTCATTGCCATTAATGCATTGTGCATCATAAATGGACTAGCCTTATTATTTTTTTTTTTTTTCCCTTTCCAGATGTTGAAAGAGGTGCAGAGAACACGTGATGACCTAAATCAGAAAATATCAGAGATTGGGAGATTGCAGATAGAGTTACAGCGAAGAGATGCAGATGAAACAAATGGCACTATAGTTGAATTGAAGACAGTAATTGCTACCTTGGAGAATGAAACTAGAAATATTAAGGTCAGATCCTACCATTCCTCTGGAAATTATTCTACATTGTCTTTATTACATTCACATCCACAAAAATATTATACGGACTATTGGACCTTACCTTTTTTTTCATGGTAGAAAGAAAAAGATGAACTTGAGGCTGCCTTAAAAGCAATTACTTCTGATCCAGTTCCCAAAGGCGCACCTGCTGATGTTGATCCTTCAAATAAGCGTACCAGTCAGATGAGTGAGGTAAGATCTGAATATTTGATAATGTTTGGTAGATAGTTTTTTTTGGGTTTATTATTTTTCATTTTGTCTCTTACGTAATTTCTTTCTAAAAGAGAACATTCAAGTATTTATTTGTCATTGATCTCATTTCTTGTTATGCATATTCTACTCTTCCATTTATATATGCCCTCTACTCTAAAAGTTAAGAGTCTATGCAGGAATCACCATGGAAGGAGGAAATGCAGCAATCTTTGCGTAAGCTGGAGAACGATTTGAAGGAAGCATCCCGAGAGAGGGACAAAGCGTTGTATGAGTTAAATCGTCTCAAACAGCATTTATTGGAGAAGGTTTGTGTCCCCGATCTCCTCTAGAAAGGTTTGACCTTCATAAAAAAATAATCTCTAACTTGTCTAATGTCATAGGAATCTGAAGAATCCGAGAAGATGGATGAGGATAGTAAGGTCATCGAGGAACTGCGAGAAATCAACGGACACCAAAGAGTTCAAATATCACGTTTGGAGAAAGCTCTTACACAGGCCATTGCAGGTCAGGAAGAAATAAAAGTGTCCAGCAGTAATGAGCTGATGAGGGCTAAAGACACCATAGACGAGCTTGATAGAAAATTGACCAGCTGTTTGAGCACAATAGATGCCAAAAACATGGAAATTTTGAATCTTCAAACTGCACTCGGACAGTATTATGCCGAAATTGAAGCTAAGGTAGACTTTTTTTTACTGGTTGGAAGAATATCATGAAGGCAAGGTACTTTTTTGGTTTTGTTCCATTAATATTTGTGTTTTCAGGAACGTCTCATTGAGGAGTTATATTTTGCAAAAGAAGAATCTGCTAGACTCACGAATCAGTTGAAGGTGTAATATCTTACCTTGACCTTCTATAATTGTTGAATTTATTTTTTATGTTTACGGCAGCCCGGGGAACATGTTTATTTCTATTCTGGCGCACACACATGGGCTCTTGTGTAATTTCTATATCATAACCTTACAAAAAATGTAGTCTTCAGGCAAAAAGGGGCTGAAGTTGCTAACTCTTTGCTCATTCTCATATGCTTTTAGGAAGCACACCAGCAAGCGAACGTGTCAAAGATGGAAAAAGAAGAAATCCTGGGCAGGCTTTCAGAAGCCGAAAGGACTCTTGCTGATGGGAAGAGCAGAGTTAAGAAGCTTACGGAGGACAATGAAAAACTCCGAAGGGCTCTTGAGCAAAGCATGACGAGGTTAAATAGGATGTCAGTGGACTCGGATTTTCTAGTTGACAGGTTGGATAAATTTTTGCTATTTTCACCTTATTCTAACTCGAGTCATTTCCTACTCAAGACACTGCATGTGAAACGTAGCATTTTTTCACCCCATGCTCTAGAAGCCTTTTCTGAAAAGACCATATGTGCCTTGATTTTTTTTTTGTTTTTTGTTTTCTCTTTTGACAGTTGGATTCATACATCGTGCTAGCTTATTTATTTACTATATCATTGAAGTTTATAAACTTAATACAAAAAGCTGTTTTGTGCGCAGGCGCATTGTGATCAAATTACTGGTGACATATTTTCAACGAAACCACAGTAAAGAGGTGAGTGTGCATATCCAATCCAATTCGGTATCAAGGAGCCCAAACATATATGTGAAATTATTCGTCCCTCATTTCTGAAGGAGGGCGTTAAATAATGAATCCACATAACGATAAAAAAAAAAAAATGGAATCCACATGCCTATAACTGCATTGATCGGAAAGAAACAAGAATCAAATCATCATCGTACACCACCTAATAAACATTATTTATTTATTTATTTTCAGGTTCTGGATCTAATGGTTCGCATGCTCGGATTTTTGGATGAAGACAAGCAACGGATAGGCATCGCCCAGCAAGGGGCCGGCAAAGGTGTAGTTAGGGGTGTGTTGGGTCTTCCGGGTCGACTGGTCGGGGGTATTTTAGGCAGCGGCGGCGGCTCAGCTGGAAGCCAGGCAGCCATGGCATCTGACAACCAGGTACTAACTCCCCACACTGCCCCGTACTATATTACTAT